AATCAATCAGTCGACTCACAAAAGTGTAAATATAACAGGATCTGGGAACAGAGATGGTATTTTTTACACATTGCATTTGGGTGGAACTATCTGAAAATAACTTAAACACATGCATAGCCATTCATGATATTCTATTTGTATAAACAGCATTCTTATATGTGTATAATATCCAAGCCAGTGATACAGTACATCAGGAAGTTTACAATTAGATTACTTTTTATCCTTCCTACATCTTACCAAACTGTTCTGTACATTGGTGGAAATGGTGGTGTTTTTTGCTTTTAACTCCGCCCTATAGAGAAACCCCTTCATACTTATAGAAACCATCTTGTTACAACATTTTCAGAAAACCCAAATGATTATTATCGCTATTATAACAAAGAGCTGAGGTTGTAAACAAGACCATTTTCTACAGGACACGAGAAAGCTAAACTCCACTGAGCCACATGATTGTAAATATGACTTTTGTGGGATCAAATTGGGGAAGTTTCAACAGATTTTTTTTTTCCTTTTCTTTATTATAACATTTACATCTTTGCGCGAATGGTGTGTGTGCGTGTGTGTGTGTGACAGAGGGATAGAGAGTGAAAGAGAGAGAGAGATCCTGTTGAATGTAGCCCTTTTAAAGTGTATGTGCGGCAGTGTCTGGTGAATATTAACATCCTCGTGCAGCTGGCTCTCCGAAGAACATTTCACTCTCTCATTTTTGCATCAAATCTGTACTCACTGGTCTGTTTGTGTCCATGAAATTTTATCTAAACTGAATACAGGCCATAGTAAATATAACTCATTGAAGGGGCACTATGTAATATTTACAGCTTGTTTCATGGAGATGTTATTGCTTATTGCAGTGAATGTTCCACAGTACGGCTAACACTGATTTAATTTCCTATGCTTAAAGAACACATATTGTGCTTGAGCCTGCCATATAGTTATACTCTACAACATCCATGGGTCATTATGTTATAATTTGCACATATTAAATTGCAATATTCATCTCATCTACAACTTAATAAAAAAATCAAACTGCCCAATGGGAGCTGACATTGCAGTAAACATAATCAAGAGTTGCCGTGTACTGGTAGTATATGGACTGATGCAGATTTTATTTACATTTTGGACCAAAATGACTACGCAACTCTGCTGAATCCCACATGTATCTCCGATTAAGGAAATAAAATCGGGGAAATCAATAAGTAGAAAGCAGTGGGCATATGCTGGTGGCGGTGAAAAATAGCCAGGCTGGTGCCACCTAGTGCCTCCGCTCAATTTAATTTCTCCCCAGCGACTAGCTCAGGCATCGGAATACACTAGACGGTTTGTAAGAACCCCGGAAGTGCTGGCACCAGCCAGTCAGCGAAGAGCCATACATTCTGTGTTGGCAACAATTCCCGAGATCGAGGATTTAAAGCTGGAACAAAGAATGTTTTGTGAATTTTATCAAGGGGAAGACGTTATTGCCCTTCTTCCTACGGGATTTGGGAAAAGCTTAATATACCAGTTAGTCCCGTTAGCGGCGCATTGCATTCGTCACGACCAAATAGCAGTGACTGGTTAAATAAAAAAGTACCCGCCTACCGTCAAGCAAAAGGATCCTAATGCTGCAAGATCAGACGGTTTCCATGAAGTAAAACCGACTGATGAGTCAGGCTAGGTGAAAATCGCTAGGTTTGTCAATATGGCATCTCGAAAATAAGTGATTAAAGATTACTCAAACATATATAAATCACTCCAAATGCATCTCTGAGAGGGGATATTAGACAGGGAAACAACTATAGCACAGTTAAAAGCTATAACAAGTTGATTTTGCATTAAAAACATCTTGAAAAAACATGAATTTTTATTGTGAGTGGCGTCGCCTCTCCACAGATCTCAACTGTAACCTGTTTGTGCCACCCTCTTGACTGTGGAACATTCCAGGCAAAGCAAAAACACTCAGCCTGAAAAGTTACATATTGCACCTTTAAACTGAAAAGTCTTTGTTCAAATTTAAACAATACAATACAGATGACCCTTTTTCTTTTGTTTGTGGACATACAGAATTTAATGATTTTTTTTTTCTTTTCCCCCTTGTTGGTGTTTTCAGAAATTTTGGTTGGAAAAAACTTTTTTTTTTTTGCTGACATCTGTTTTTATTACATTTACTGTAGCAGAATTTTACTTCAAAAAACTATAACTTTGTGTAAATCCCTGCCAATTGTAGGTATTTGTAAAGCCAGTAATGATAAATATTTGAAATGGTTATCAATCTAATGTTGTTTTTTCTTTTTATTTTCTAGTTGCCCATCAGTCATTTTGGCATTTTTATTTCTTATTTATAAAAATGAAATCACTTTTGCTTCTTACAATGAAGGTGTATTTTTATTATTTTATTTTTTGCTTATTTGATAAATCGATGACCATGCAATTATTATTATTTTGTTTTCTACATTTGTGATGCTGCTGTTTTCTCCTCTTGTCGGCAGCATCTATTCGTGTCACAATGCTTATTTTATTTCAAACCTGCATAATAAAAAATGTTAAAACGTTTGATTTTATCTTCAGTTTTTTCTAAAATTTCCATAACTTTTGCCAGGAAGTATGAAGTGATATTGTACTAATTGAGCATACCTACATCAGCCATTTTGGGGGTCGACTTGGTATCCATATATTTATATTTAGCAGTAATAGTATTGGGTAATCAGCTGCAGTTGTTTCCACAGAGATGTTATTTCTTTCACAGTATGGTATTTAACTGATCCATCTTGCGGGTGAGTGGGGAGTCCCTGCCTCAAGTGGAGGAGCTCAAGTATCTCAGGATCTTGTTCACGAGTGAGGGGGGGATGGAGCGTAAGACTGACAGGTGGATTGGTAAAGCATCTGCAGTAATGTGGTCACTATATTGGACAGTTGTGGTGAAGAGGGAGCTGAGCCAAAAAGCAAAGCTCTCGATTTACCAGTCAGTCTATGTTCCCACCCTCATCTTATGATCACAAGCTTTGGGTAATGACCAAAAGATCGTTGATACAAGCAGTCGAAATGAGTTTCCTCTGCAGGCTGACTGGGCGCTCCCTTAGAGATAGGGTGAGGAGCTCAGTTACACGGGAGGAGCTTGGAGTAGAGCCGCTGCTCCTCCACGTCGAGAGCCGTGAAGCTTCCTTATGGAAGTCCCTGCTTAGACTGCTGCCCCCACAACCCGGCCTTGGATAAGCGGAACCAAAACGGACAGATGGATGGATCTTGCATTCATGAATTTACAAGTGATTTTATTGCTAAAAATGTATTAAAAACATGCATTAGTACTGTGAGTGGGATTGCCTCTTTACAGATCTGACCTGTAACTACTTGCTGGGATCATCTGGCTTCATGGAGATATGCAAGTTTAAATCATAGACTGCATAAAGAACTAAGCGAGTGTGACGTCCTCCATAGTGTTCAGCTCCAGTCAAATGAAGCTCATGGTGAAATAAAACCACCAGGACCATGTAGAGAGGAGTGATATGAACATTTTCAGACAAAAATGATGAGGTTGCAGCAGTTACAGAGAGAGGGGTGACAATTTTTAATGTAAAGTCAATTGAGACTCGATGGAGCCTCCATGTCCACTTCATATCTGGAGCACAGCAGCTAGCGGGTTACCTATGACCATTTATATATACAGTCTATATAAAATATATGGTTTAAATAAAGTGTGGAAAATCGCAGACAATAACATCTTTGGCACACCCTTTGCTATTTCTCGTGATATGTTGATGGTACAGAGCCTGTACCCAATTTTGTTCCATGTGTCTGTGCAAATATTAGGATGCTTGGTGTGTGTGAATCTGTGTATCATTCGTTCATTTGTTTTTCAAAATAAAACCAAAAATAAGAAAATGAAAAAACAACTATTTTCTTCCATTATTTGTCGAAAAAAATGAAAAAAACAGATAATGATCAGTTTTTTCAGTTTTTGATTTTGTGTTTAAATGAAGAATGGAAAAAATGGATAACGGCCGTTTCCCGTTTACATGACTTCCGTGACTGTGATGCCAGACTGAACCAGGACTGATCCAGGTCCGGGACCAGAGTGGGACCAGAGCGGACTCTGAGCTTTGACTCCGAGCCTCCGCAGGGTCCAAGCCTCAGCTTCGAGCTCTGGCCCTGCCGTGAGCTCTGAGCCCTGGTCCCAGTCTGGTCCCGGCCTGGTCCCAGCCTGGTCTCGGTCTCAGTCCCACTCTGGTCCCGGGCTGATCTCGGTCTCAGTCCTGCTCTGGTCCCGGTCTGATTCCAGTCTGATCCTGGACCTGGATCAGTCCTGGTTCAGTCCGGCATCGCAGTCACGGAATGGTCGTTTTTCCATTTTTCATTTAAACAAAAATCAAAAACTGAAAAATCAAACCTTTATCCGTTTTTTCATTTTGGTTTTGGAGACAAATAATGAAGAAAACAGTTGTTTTTTTCGTTTTCTTATTTTTGGTTTTATATTGAAAAAGGAATGAATGAATGATACACAGATTTGTGTGTGTGTGTGTTTTTTGTTTTTGTTTTAATTCAATATTTTACCAGGTAAGTCAACTGAGAACACCTCCTCATTTGCACTGATGACCTGGCCAAAAGGCAGTCTAAAAACTGTGAAAAGAGACATGAGACAGTGAAACATTTGCCGATTAAAGATACAAAAGTGTTAAAAGCATGCGCAATGATCCTGTAAAATACTCTAGATGGAGATTTTTTAAGTCAACAGAGGTAAAAACGAAGTAAATATACAGTAGGTGTGGTGTGCATAAGGTGAGGAATAACCACTGCAATACTTTTCAAATGAACCGTAAAGCTCAATTACAGCACCTTTAAGACTGTTGGTACCTTTTGTAATTTCAGGAATTTTCAAAACTTTTGCACAAAAATCACTTTCAATCACCACCAAGTACACATACCTAAGCTCGCCATTTTGGGGGTCAACTCCGTATCCCTATACTTAAATTTAGCTACGTTGGTATTAGCTAATTAGCGGAGGAGAGTGGACCAGATTGGCAGTAAAAATGTCTTGATAAATACAGGAGCAGATGCAGAGGAGACGTGCACTGCCTCGTGAATCCGGTGCTTCGTAGGCGTTCGTGAGATAAAGGCAATACAAATGTAACATGCACCAAACTCCAGGCACACAGCCAAATATAAGTTTACCCCAATTTAGTTTGACTTTTGACATGAAGTAAGAGAAAATTGACTATTTGGAAGATAGAAGTTAAATGGCAAACTGTGGACTTTGGAGAATTCTAAAATATATATATTTAGATCGGTAATAGTGAGTTGGTATTGGCATGCATGGTCAAGTAATTGTACAAATGCATACTACTTATTTACCAGAGAAATTTCAGTTATAGAGTATGTATCACACCAATAGACTGTATAAAGAAGTGGACTAAGGACATGTGACGTCACCCAAAGCTTTCGGTTCTAGTCAAATGAAGCTCATGGTTCCAAGCTCCATATTAGAAAAGTATTAATGGACAAAATGGCAAAATAAAAACAACAGGATCATGAAGAGTTAATACAAACATTTTACGACCAAAATGACAAGGATCAGTGCAGCAGTTAAAGAGAGAAGGGCAATAATTTCTCAAAGTAAATCAATGGGAAACGTGCCTATGTTGCCTTAGCCTTTTGTTCCCTCATTTCTAAGTTTTTGTTTGTTTGTTTGTTTGTTTTTTCCAAAATAAGGCCTTACATTTCCTTTATCATCAATTTGCATCAGATTTTATTCCCATTTCTCGCAGTTTGATAGTCAATAACCATCCATCCATTTTCTTCCGCTTATCTGGGGTCGGGTCGCGGGGGCTGCAGTCTAAGCAGGGACTCCCAGACTTCCTTCACCCCAGACACTTCCTCTAGCTCCTCTGGGGGGACCCCAAAGCGCTCTCAGCTAGCCTGGGAATTCTTTGGTGTCCCCCAGGCCAGCTGAGAGACATTGTGTGTCCTAGGTCTTCCCCAGGGCCTCCTACTAGTGGGACATGCCTGGAAAACCTCCCAAGGGAGGCGCCCAGGAGGCATCCAGAACAAATGCTTGAGCCACCTCAGTTGCTGCTTTTGACATGAAGGAGCAGCAGCTCTACTTGGAGCTCCTCCAGTGTGACTGAGCTTCTCATCCTGTCTCTAAGGGAGCGCCCAGCCACTCTGCAGAGGAAACTCATTTCGGAGAGACCCTGCCTCAAGTGGTGGTAGTCAATTACACCCAACCTATTATCCAGCAGTAGTTGACTACAGATGTAACGTAGAGGTCAGGGTGCAAAGAATAATAAAATAAGAATAAGAATAAAAAGAAAAATCTCAGAAACGAGGGAACATAGAGCTGTGGGAACATAGGGCTGACCCCTCACTTCCTACTTGTAATGTGGCGGCTAGCGGGTTGGCTTTGCCCATTTACATATACAGTCTATGATCACACCATAAAAGTACTACTATTGACATGAGAAATATACTTTTCAACGTAACATTAATCTTACTCAAGTTTGAGGTTTGGCTGCTTTTCAAAATGTGTAAATATAAAAGTACAAGAGGCTTGAACTGACTGTGAGTTATGTGTGTATCTTGAACCACAGTTTATAGTTCTGTTTTGTTTGGTTGGTTGCTTGGTTTTTCAGGTTTAAATACACAAGTCAATATTTTTAATGCTACTTTTGCTTTGCGTTTTTGCTTTTCCACAAATCAAAATGTTGGCTGCCCAGAGTGACCTTCTGCAATTCTTCAGCGTCAATTCATGGAGAATTTTGGACCACTGAAGCATTCTCCTGACAAGTACAGAACAGAGATGTGTTGGTACGTATGGTGAAAATAATAGTTCTTTACAGGTGAGTTTTGATGATAATTTGTACAAAATCTGACCTTATATGATGCCGTAGAGGACCACAGTGAATAATATTGAAAACTGTAGCCTCATTAGATAAACTACAGAGATACAATGCAGCTTTTAATACCTCAAAAAAAAGTTGTACCTGGATACTAAGAGACATACAGTTTAACCATATGTGTGTTCGTTATCAATATATGGCTCAAACTCATAACTTTAAAGTGCACTGTGTAACTTTTCTGGTGTATTCATTCATATAATGTTTCACAATATGACGTTAAACTTGTCTGTCTCTATAAAGACAAACAGCTGATGGAAACAGGCCAAGTACAGGTCCGATCTGTGGAAAAGTGACCTTGCTCACAGTAAGAATGCAAGATTTTCAAGGTATTTTAGAGGAATTAAAAACATAAAAAAATGAATGCCATACTGTGGAGTATTCCAGGCAAAGCATTAACATCTATGGAGATGAGCAGGTTAGGATTCCAAAGGTATCCCGATCTAGAGAAGTTAGAAGGTTAAAGGTGTATTACGTACATTTTCTGGTGGAGAGTCACATACTTCTTCATGGAGCTGTTATTGCTTTGTCTGGAATGTTTCACAGAATGGCTTTAAACTTTTTATCTTCATGGAGACCAGACCAAGTTACAGGTCAGGTCTGTGGAGAGGCAACCCCGGCTCAGTCACGGTAGGAA